GATGCAGACGAGACAGAAGATGCAGACGAGACAGAAGATGCAGACGAGACAGAAGATGCAGACGAGACAGACGATGCGGACGAAGGTATGAATGATGGCGTTCGACCATCATCTCCAGCAAAGGAACCAGCCCAACAGGCTTCAAATGCCCAAATGGCTAACCTATCGACTCTTAGAAGAAGCATCCGGATCTCCGAACTGAGGGGAAGAGGTGGACGGGCAAGCTTTCTCTACTTCCCTCGGAATCCGCCAAACAGCGGATCGGCTGGATCCAGAGCCTCAGCTGGACCAAGAGGCCCAGGTAGACCCAGAGGCCCAGGTAGACCTAGAGGCCCAGGTAGACCCAGAGGCCCAGGTAGACCTAGAGGCCCGGGTAGACCCAGAGCCTCAGATAGACCCAGAGCCTCGGCTGGGCCGAGCACGTCAGCTGCTTCCCAGAACCCTGGAACGACTACAGGCCCCCCTCGTCTTGAACGAGACGGGGCTTCTTGGAAGGGAGTCGAGGACTCCGAAGAAGACGAAGAAGCAGAGTCTAGCACCGAACCTGCCTCTCAACACGACCCCAAGGAGAAAGGGAAGGGTCCCGCACGGCAGGGTTAAGGAGAGTATTATGATCCGTGTACGCCATCAACATACCCCGACAGCAACAGGTACCCAGATTGACATTAGAGGCCCCTTTCATTCGTAACTGGATTGTATATGAGTACCGCCATGGCTGATGGCCGCCTTGTTTGATTTAGATCTTTGATACGACGTACAGCAAATTGACTTTTCCTCCCTTATGGCTCTATAACCCTACGCTAGTGAGTAAGAATGTCCTTGGATATGACCTCTTCAATTATTACGTTAACCTTATTAGATGTATTCCATACGTACGTGACAACAGCCGAGTTTCCGATAATCACTTACCACTATATAATATTGATTTAATGGGATTGATGTCCATTGCTAATATCCTTAGTATGTTTATCAAGTAGACGCATTACGAGTTTCTTTAACCGGAGGAAGCGGAGAGGTACTAGTGCTAAGACGGAGAAAATAGGTTAGTATAGCTGAGACGTAAGAGCTAGTTTAGATACTTTACCTAGTAATTGTGTTCAAGTAAAGCTTCCCACTATAATCGTATATTCATAAGCAACAAATGTGGCCAGGGTTTCATGTCCATCGCAGGCGCCTTCCAGCGGGTTAAACTTTTCTGTAGCAATTAGGATGTGGTTGCTTCAAGTCGTCGACATCTGTATAATTGTGTTGCGTTTGTTTTCCGAGTCAACCTTCGTTCCTCTTCAAGAGAATCTTTGAAAATGCAAAACTAGCCAACAGCTGATACTATTGCAATAAAAGCCCTAACAAGTACAGGTAGAAAATAAGTTTTGCCGAGGTCTCTTGGATTGCTTTAACTGATCGTGGAAAACTTTGAATGGCATATAGCAACACTTCATCCACGCAATTCCTGTTTTGGCATATTGAGTTGTGGTGCCCTCGTAACCGCTATAGCTACCGTAGAATTTTGCCAATGCGACCAAGTTCACAGACTTGACTTGAACTCTTAACGCGTCACGGTAGGTGATCCGATCTATAAGACAGTGCGGCAACCGAAGACAACAACACCAGCGGTTGGTAATAGTATCCAAAGCTTGGTGCGCGACAAGTCACAATCACCAGCATATCATTATTATCGTCTTTTCAATCCATACTACCCTTGGCCTTGTTATCGGCCCAAAACTGTCCTACATTTCTTCCTTCTAACTCCTCTGAGATCGCCATTGAGTTCCGTTCACACTTCTTCAAAGCAAGATCCGATCTTTCACGAACGTTAGGAGTCGTGTAGGCATTCACCCTACGCATAGCCATCCCATCCTCTAATGCAATCGCAGGAAATAACAACCCGGATGGCCCATCCACGCGATAATCGTACACGGCTAGATGGTGCAAAGGCAAATCCATTCAGGGAGTACGCACGGAGAGCTCGCCAGGTCGTTCGGAGACCTGATCGTTATATAACTGTGGAACCAGCAGAGTTAGATGTGCGAAATGATTTCGGAAGGGAACATCGAGGACTAGCCCATTTCTTGAGACGTGTGAGGAGACTGACCAGTCCGCCACCGTTATTACGATCACAACAACTGTCTGCCATGTCTGAACATTCGACAACCAGGAGACCGACTAACCCACTACCACCAACGGCACAACATTTACTCGCTATGTCTGAAGCACCTACAACCAGGAGAGCGGCTAGTCCGTCAGCAGAAAAACAGCGGTTCGTCGTATCCCGACCATCTATGGCCAGCCTACAACTGTCATCAGCATCACAGGGGCGGCTCGCCGTGTCGCAATCTTCGATAGCCATGAGATCGGCTGGCTCACCACAGGTACAACAACATTTCGCGGCGCCACAACCTTCAATAGATAGGATGTCGGCTCGCCTATCAGCAGTACAGCAGCAGCTTGCACCTTTGCCATTCAATCCCCCTTTATATAGACGCCCGACAGAACTAGATATACAATTAGCTCGTATAGAACATGAGCGAGCGCAGCAGGCCGATCTCAAATATCAGCTCGCTATTCAGATTCAATACAATGAGGTACTGTGGAGACATGGCATAGGACAAGCGATCGGACATGAAGCGCCTGTACGATACAAGGGACCGGTACGAAATCCGTCTGCACGTGGGTCGATGTTCCGCGCCCGACAGCCCGAGCCGATGGGCCTTACAGAGCGGATTGTAACCAACGTGCTAAAGTCCAGAGGATATCCACCGCGGCGTCCGCAGACAACTGAGAATTCTCGTCCAAATCAAATCGAGAGTATTGCAGACTCGCAGACCATGTCCCCTCCAGCAGTACACCAGAGCAGGGCCGAAGTTCCTTCTCCTCTGCCCAAAACAATGACGGGAGTGGTTTCAAACCGAACTTCTTCAACAGACAGCCCCCAACCTAGCGGAATAACAAACAACTGCAGGCCAAGAGAAAGGGAAAATATCGCAGGCTCTGAGATGATGGAACACAGGGGAGCACGTCATAACCCGGGAATAGTTCCGAGCCAGTTCCAGCCGGCGCCACAGAGGACTGGGAATGGTGAATCATCGGTAGACTTCCGCTATCGAGTTTCAGTATCAGAGACTTTTGGTCAGAAATCAATCCAATCATACGTCCAGCTCAGCAGCGAAAGGCCCAGTCCACCTCCGGTCAATAGCATTACACAAAATATGCATTTTCGAACTAGAGATGTGAGTAGCCAAAAGAGACATACACAAGCGGAGCAGAGTGTTCATATCCCAGTACAGCGTGTGCTTGAGACAATCCAAATCCAAGAAGCTCAGACTCAACAATCTATAGGATCAAAGCGATCTGGGGATAGGCCGACTGGGATCAAAACTTTACCAGGTACAGGGGAGGCAAACGCCAGACGCAGGCCCATCGGGGTCAAAACTCTACCCGGTACAGATGAGGCAAACGCTGGACGTAGGCCCATAGGGGTCAAAACTCTACCTGGTACAGTTGAGGCAAACGCTAGACACACGCCCATCGGGGTCAAGACTCTACCCGACACCGAAGAGTCAAAGGCTAGACACAGGGCTCTAGGGTACAAGCCCTTACCTCGCATGGATGAGGCTAAGGTTGAACACAAAACTTTAGGGGATGAAACTTTACCTAGTACAAGGGAGGACCAGGAGAACGAGGCCAAGGAAAATATAACCACCACGAGAGGCTTAGTCTCTGGGCTGAATGAGCAACAAATAGAGCGCCCTAGAAGAAAGAAAGGCTCATCAGATGTCCAAACCAGGGCTGTCAGACAACAAGCCAGTTCGCAAGCCAGTTCGCGGGCCAGAACACACCAAACAAAGGACAAACGCAGAGAGGAAAGTTTACCCGGTACAGAGGAGGATCAGGAGGGTAAGGCCAAGACCGATGATAATATAACCACCGCGGGAGGCTCAGTCTCTGGGCTTAATAAGCAACCAACAGAGCGGCCCAGAACGAGAGGCTTAGCAAATGTTAGTACCATGGTTACCAGACAGCGAGCCAGTTCGCAGGCCAGAACATTCCAACCAAATGACAAACGCAGAGAGGAAATTTTACCTGGTACTAAGGAAGGCCAGAAAACCGAGGATAATATAACCTCCGAGCGAGGCTCAGTCACTGGGCTTAGTGGGCAACCAACAGAGCGGCCCACAACGAGGGGCTTATCAAATGTCAGTACCATGGTTACTAGACAGCTAGCCAGTTCGCAGGCCAGGACATGCCAAACAAAAGACACACGCGGAAAGGATAATACAACAAATGAGCAGGCCACCGCTCCAAAACCTAACAAAGGCCCTGCCAAGCGCAAGAGAACGAGAGAGCCTTCCAACGCCAGTCAATCAAAGAAAGCAAAGACAGATTGAATTGTAGGATATAGAGCAGGGGTAGGCTACCTCCTAAGTGCACCTAGCCTACGCCCTAGAGGTATGTAGGTATATCGCCATTACCAAAGGGCAAAGTAGCGCATTGGTGGGGTTGCGAGGTTGAGTTGCGGAGTGGAACTGGTACAGCGGTGTATTGGGATGTGAATTTTCGGATTCTACCATTAAAAGGAGCATCAGGACTGTACTTTAGCAAGCAGCACCAGGAGTACGAAGTACCGAGCATCATACTAGGAATCGTGGGGACATCGAGCTTATTCAACGTCCGTGGGATGCATGTGCCGCTGTACCAATGGATAGGGCCGGTAGCGAATCCCATGGACGGTATAAAACATCGTTATTAGCGTAAAAGAAAATAAATCCCACTTCTACTTCGATTTCTATTCAATTAAAACAAGATGTGAGGCGTGTGGTAGCGCAAAATGAAGACATGTCGTCCTTCGCTGCCAAGCACCTTACGTAATCTTACCTATGCTCACACTAGTGTTGGGCTAACCGGTTCTGGTAAGCCATGTTCAACTCCCAGCAAGTCCCTTAGGCCGAGGTTCTTCTGCGGCCGACAGCCTGCTTGATCTGTTGCTCTGCGAATAGTTCAACTGAAATTGCATAGGCGGCGTTTGATTTCATATTCTGCCATTTAATCAGAGCACTCTATCTCGTTATATGTACTATATCTTATACCGCCCACAGTCTTCAAATCCGAGTACTTGATTTCCTCGCGAATTTCCAGCCAGAGCAGAGCAGAGCCAGCCCAACCTTCCTCATCTCCAAACCTCTGAGAAGTCGATTTACGCTTCTGAGCGTAGAGCTTTACTATATCGAATAGTCTATCGCCATGGCAGAACAGCGCCCGCAGCCTCAGCAACGAAAGCGCAAGCGGCGGCGTCAGGACAAATCCTCCATCACTGCAAGATTGGTTTTGGACGACCATGTGAGAGGCGATGTTGGTATACTCTCGGAAGACTTGTTCGCCGATTTATTTCCCGCAATACAAGGTAAATATCTACTTGATTTATGCTATGAGGATGGGAGTGAAGCTAACGCCGTATTCGCAGCCGAACCTGATGGTAGCGGATCCTCTGGCCCCGAAATTCTCCATGTTGCGATTTCGCCCTGGACACCTGCGAAGTCGGTTGAAGACTCAGCTTGGACCGTCGTGCCTGTTAGATCCTCAAGCGCCCTAGCACATTCGACCGTCCAATTTTCCCCGTCGTCGTTGGCTTTGCAAGGGTTTGCAGACGCTCTTCAGCGTGTAGCCCCCTCGAAATTGTCGAGTCATAGTCGGAGTGGTATTGAAATTCGGGTGCTAGATGTGGTTCCTATGCCTCTAGAAACCGTGTTCGTTACCATTGAAGCGGATTTAGCTAGACGATTGGAGAATGGCGAAGGGATATTCCACGGAGAACACGTACGGACAAATGGAAAGCGGATTGACAAGCCGTCTTCAGTGGCTCCAGAGGGTCGATTAGCTGCTGCAATTCGGGAAGCGCTAGGTACACTGCAGGTTGTGCATACAGGGGATTTCTTTCCCTTGCCCTTGGCACCCCATCCTATAACGCATGTCCCACCTCCTCCCGCCCAAGTTACTTTGTGCGAGCCCGTTGGTCAGGGTATTTTATCACCCACGAGCAAGATTATCATCACTCAGACTGGCCACCATTCAAAACAACACCGCAAGCCTCAAGCATTAGAAGTGGACCGGCCATTAAACGGCATGGAAAATGGAGAGGAGGACGATGCCTCGACAGACCAATTCTATTCCGCAACCGAGGACCGCTATAAGACAGATACCGCGGTCGGCGATGACGATTCTGCTACTGAGACGGAGACTGAGACGGAAATATCAGATGCGGAAGAAGATGATTTGTCAGATGATTCCATGGACGATCTAATTTCATTACAAGTGCCAATGCTTCCAGCTCACAATGCTAGCGGTATATCAACGGTGCAGCCTGGCTCGCCGCGTACAGTCGGACGAGTGACAAATGGTATCAATACTCCAGGCTCAATATTTTCATCATTTACTGCAACGACAGCTCGTGCTGGAGGTTCGAAAGGACGATTGTTCAAAGCACAGGGGCTGATGAGGCAGTTGCCAGAAGAAATACTTCATCCTAAACCGAATGCTGATGATGACGAGGAAGCGAGGGTCTTTGTGGATGTTAACTCGTTGACAAAAATCGGCTGCTTTTCAGGCGATTGGGTACGACTCGAGGTGGCTTCGGAGCCACCGGCTCACGGGTCAGGGCTATGGGGATTGGGGAGTTTCGGAAACATTGAACTGGAAGATACAATATGGCGGCCTGTCAAAGTATTTGGTTTGCCCGAAGGCTACTCCCAGCGGCCAATAACAAAAATTCCAAGCAATAAACAAGGCGAACGGCGAATGTCCTTCTTCGACTCACAAATCCAAAAGCCCTCTAGTCCCACTGTCTATTTATCACCGATATTGCTCGCAAATATGGAGAACATGTCATACTGCAGGCTTTCCCCGCTAAAACGACTTCCGCAAACTATCAGAGCATCACAACCAAAGATCACAAGTTCATCTCGCCCACCATTCGCTCAGGAGCTCACGCTTGTCAAGATCGCAACTCCGCTTTCAACAGAACGAACCCTCCAAAATATCCTCTTCGCAAACTTGAAGGATCATTTTACTCATCGCACGCGCATTGTCCGAAAGGGTGATCTTGTAGCTATCCCGATTGACGAGGATCTTGGCAGAACCTTATATCAGCCATCTGCAAATGATGACCTAGACGTGGATGATTTGTTATCAAATTCCGGCTTGGACAATTCAAAGTATGCCAGGCCTATTAAACATACGGCTGTTGCGTGGTTTAGAATAGGATTCATTCGAGCTGCAAAAGAAGACCAGGATTCAGCCGAGGAAGAAGACGTCTGGGGTGGAACTTCATCCGTGGATGGCCCATCAACTCGGATATTGCAGTCTGGCAGTGAAGGCAGCCGTGTGCCTGCGTCTTTGGATAACCCTTGGGAATATTACCTGAGGCTTAAATCAACACCCAAATCAGAAATCCTCGCAAGTTCCCTGTCAGAGGCTCGAAGACCCCATATAACTTCTCTTCAACGACGCCTACGAGAGTTAATTGCAGCAGCAACGAGCCCTCAAGCCATCCATCTTCAACAACAGCCCCTTGCTATTCTCCTCGTCTCAACGCAACGAAATATTGGAAAGTCGACTCTAGCAGCAAAAGCATGCGCTGATATCGGTCTGCACACTTTCAGTATCGATGCCTATGATATAGTAACCGAAGGCGGAGCTGGTAGCGACGTTAAAACTGTCGCATACTTGGAATCGCGCGCGGAACGGGCCATGTCTTGCGGGTCCGAGTTTTGTTCCTTTCTCATTCGCCATATTGAAGCTTTTACAGCGGATAGGATGATCAGCACACTGAAAGAAATTCTCTCAGGCCTGCGAGTGCTCATTGCCACGACCACAGAGGTCGACAAGATTCCTGATGGTGTCCGAGGCTTATTTACCCATGAGCTGGAGATGACTGCGCCCGACGAATGGGAACGTGAAGGCATTCTCAGAAACATCATTGACGACCAGCCAATCCCTCTAGCTCCAGAAGTAGACCTTGGCGCAGTGGCTGTCAAAACCGCTGCTCTTGTCGCAGGAGATCTTGTCGACGTGGTTGACCGCGCGATCGTAGCACGGAACTCTCGCCTGGAGTCACTGGTGTCATCGTCGTCTGGCGTGGAAAATTCCATGACGGTGCGTGACATTCTGGTAGCCGGCGGCCCCGCAGGTCGCTGTCTTACCAAAGCCGATTTTGACATTGCTGTCGAAGCCGCGCGCAAGAACTTCGCAGACGCAATCGGCGCACCTAAGATCCCCAATGTAGGCTGGGACGATGTTGGCGGGCTTACAAATGTGAAGGATGCCGTCATGGAAACCATCCAGCTTCCACTCGAGCGCCCCGAACTCTTCGCTAAAGGAATGAAAAAGCGATCCGGAATCTTATTCTATGGACCGCCTGGAACTGGCAAGACGTTACTTGCAAAGGCAATCGCAACAGAGTTCAGTTTGAACTTTTTCAGTGTGAAAGGTCCAGAGCTATTGAATATGTATATTGGCGAGTCCGAAGCGAATGTCAGGAGAGTATTCCAACGCGCTCGAGATGCCCGTCCCTGCGTTGTCTTCTTCGACGAGCTTGACTCAGTAGCGCCGAAACGAGGGAATCAAGGCGATAGCGGTGGTGTTATGGACAGAATCGTATCCCAACTCTTGGCAGAATTGGACGGCATGTCAGATGGAGAAGATGGCGGCGGAGGTGTCTTCGTCATTGGTGCCACAAACCGTCCAGATTTGCTTGATGCCGCATTACTACGGCCTGGACGCTTCGATAAGATGCTGTACTTAGGTGTGAGTGATACACATGAAAAGCAATTAACGATTATGGAAGCTTTAACAAGGAAGTATGTGTCGCCAATCCCATTTCTCTCCAAACGGATAGCTAACGAGATTTTTAGATTTACCCTCCATCCGAGCCTCTCCCTCGCTCGCGTTGCCTCTCATCTCCCATTTACATATACCGGCGCCGACTTCTACGCCCTATGCTCCGACGCCATGCTCAAAGCCGTGACAAGGCAAGCCTCTCTCGTCGATGCCAAGATTGCCGCGATCAACGCATCCGCCGTGACTGATAAACCAAAGATATCCACGGCTTATTTCTTTGACCATTACGCGACTAAGGACGACGTAGATGTTGTGGTTACGGAGGAAGACTTTATCAATGCTGAAAAGGAGCTCGTGCCTAGTGTAAGCCAGGGAGAGTTAGTGCATTATCAACGTGTCAGGGCACAGTTCGAAAAGGTTGAAGAAAAGAAACCGGATCTCAAGGGGAAGGGGAAGGCAATTGCTATTGATGGCCCGATATCTGAAGTTAATGGGAGACCAATGAGTAGTGTTAAGGAAAAGGGAAAAGGGAAGATTATTGACCGGAAAGGGAAGGGGAAGGCGGTTGAGAGGTGGGATGATCCAACGGAAGACTATGAGGACGAGGGTATCAATGGCTTTGACAGCAGGCCAGCGATGAAAGGGAAGGCCGTGGATATGGGATTCCAACAGGGGAGTTTGGATGATGATGAGGAGCTGTACTAATATGGCAATGCATAACTACAGGGGAATTGGATGTAGTTACCGTATTGCATGATATACAAGATAGGTATTTCTAGAAATCAAAATATGTACCTCTTGCCAGCCAACCCGGCTGCGTTTATTGTGACAATGGGCCAGATCCCAGCATCGAATGGGAAGATTTTAGGTGACGGTCAAGTGGCTTAGCTACCTGGTGTCGAAATAAATTTCTTGAGAAATTGCATATTTCCCTCTATTTGCATTCTCATTTGCACATTTTTGATAAGAATGCAGTTTATTAAACAGGTTCACATATGTTGCACCTGATCTCATCGCAGCCAGCTCATGGGTCCACTTTCAGAATCCAGGACGCGTAAGCGGCGTAAGTCATATTTTATTACAGTGGTGGCGTACTCGAGTACACCAAAAACCCCCCGAAATGCAACCATTTTTTCCTTCTCCAATATTTTGTTTTTAACCCCTTTCTGAGCAAATGCTGAAGAAAAGTACAGACGGCTTCCCCAGCTTAACCCGGTGGCGCTAGAGGACAGAGCGCTGATCAACAGTAAGCCATGATCTATCCAGTGGCTTCGAGGCCTCGATGCCGCGATGTCTCACGTACCAAACCGGGATCTATTTATTATTTTCTTTTTGCGGAGTGTTCCGACGACACTAATGCATGACATGAGTACTTGTATATAGGTACCCGTAATGCGCCAAATCGTTAACTTTGTGTATGTGATGACCTTAACCGTTTTCCCTTGCATATTATTTCTATCGATAGCTCCCAAAAGCAAACCAGCCACATCCAGAGTCCAGACTCTACAAAAGCCTCATCTATCACATTCCTATCTGTGTTACTCTTGACAATGGATTATTGGCGTTCAATGGGTTTTTTTTCCTGACCCAATGCATACCTATCGGCTATCATGTCAGACAGCTCCAATATGTGATTTTGATCTGCACCTTGCAGATCAGCGTACTACCTACGTGCAACATTGGGAAATCGAGGTCTGGAAATTCAGAAGGCTTGATGGCTTGTCATTTGCTTGATACGAGTCTCGACCCTCTAGTGTGTATGGATGAGTTCCATGGGGATCCTCTTCTTGACAGCCTAATTACGCGGATGCTGTAGTCTAGCCCCTAGAGGCCAATCGAAAGATATTTTTGGTCACATTTCTCCCTTTTTGTTTGCATAGTCGAGGCTGAACAGAAGATCGGCGAGAAATGTCACCTCATTCAGAAGAATTCTATTGAAAGTTCCTTCTTCACGGCGCCGTTGGGAGGGTCTGAGGCTAGGAGGCTCCTCAGCTCTACCAGACTTATGGTAAGAGGAAACCTATAAGATAGACTCTTCCCGTGGACTTTGAATATTTTCCTTTGTCTATCTCACTCAAGCTCCACTTCCCCACTGCTCGTTCAGCATAGTTGACACACTCGTTTTAATACCCTCTTTTTTGCCTTTAATTACCTCCTCCCCACCACCCACTTTCCCTCATTAATAAAACACCTCTCGTCTTCGCAATCATGGTCAAGAATCTCGCACTCATTGCCTTGCTGGCATCACTTTCTCTGGCAGCTCCAACAGTCCGTGTTCTCGATACCAGAAGCCCTGAGGCCCTGAATATTGGCCTTGGACTCGACATCGATTTAAACCTATCAGTTTCTGCATCTGTAGGGTTCAACGCCAATATTGCTGTTGCACTCGAAGCCTGCATCGCCGGTGTCGCATCAGGCGTAATTGACGTGGATGCAAAGCTCGCCTTACTGGCATGGATTCAAGATGGCGGTTCTCGCTTTTTCAACCCATCAGTGTGCAAGGAGATCATCTCATGGTGCAATGGCGACTCTCATTACCAGCTCCCTGCCCCAGTAAGCACTGCCCTCACTGTCGCTCTTGAAGTAGATGTCGCTATCTCTGCTACCGGAGGCTATATGCCATACTTCAACAGCTACATCCAAAAGTCCCACAAGGACGAGTGTGCATGCTCAGTTATTCCTGCGTCTCCTCAAGCATCACTCCTCGAATTCCTCCACGGCTCTGTTGGCGCAGCTTTGGATATTGAAATCCAAGCTGCCCTTCAACTCTGTGCTTCAGGCGGTATCGCAGCAACCCTAAGTGCTTCATCCCACGCATCCCTGTTGGCATGGCTTGAAATCTCCGTCTGTCCACTAGAGGTCGAACTAGTTGCTCTAGTGAGAGCATGGCTCTCCATCGGCACAGGCATCACTCTCCCATCTGCACCATCTCACCCTGACCCCAGCACCAGCTACGTCCTTGATCACCAAACGCAACTCGAGCTCTTGGCCTGGATCGAAACGTCAGTTTTCGCTAGCCTCGACGTTTCCATCCAAGCATCCCTCTATGTCTGCGTATCAGGCGGTGTCTCTGCTGCCCTGGATGTCACTGCCCTTGCTGCCCTTACCACATACGTTTCCGGTCCCAACTGCGAACTCCCAGCAACCCTCCAAGCAAGCATCGAACTCTGGCTTAGTGCCTATGCCGGTGTTGGTCTTGAAGTTGGTACCGCCATCGACGCATACGCATATGTCAATGCAGGTGTCGACATCGAAGCCGAAGTTGATATCTCCGGCCACCTGTCAACTGCCTCCAGCTCTAACGTCTCCTCCTTCTGCTCCAGCCACGGCGAAGGTCTGCCAACCCATGTGCTAGACTGCCTCAACCACGCCTCCCAAGGTGGCCTGGCTATCGATCTCGAAATCGAAGCCGCAATTGCCCTAGCAACTTTCCTCGCTGATGAGTCCTGCCCACTTGAGGCGACCGTCCGCGCTACTCTCCTCGTTTGGCTCTCAATCGGTGGCTTGAAGGGTGTTACGCTCGGTGCTGATGTAATTGCTGTAATCAAAGCCGCTGTGGATGCCGGGTTGGCCGCTGAATTGAGCTCTGTCGTCAGAGGTGCATTGGGCCTTGCGGTCAACGGACAAGTAGCTGCAGTTCTAAGTGTTGCTGCCAGAGCTGAGGTGGCAGCATTCTTACTGGTTGATGTTAAGATTGGAGCTGTTCTGGACGTTGATGTTGTGGCAAGCGTTTGCGGATGGCTTTCTGGAGTTGGTATTTCTCATTAAGAATGATGAAGAAAGATATAAAGGCGAGAGTTGTTGGTTAGGCCCTTAGAAGTTTCAAGTAGAAATATTTTGTCAGCTTGTAGATATTTTGGAGCGTGATCCTCCGTAGAACACGGCTATTAATGAATATAATTCCGATACCCCTCGATCCGCCATAAGATGTTAAAGTTTTATGTTTGATTACTCGCTCACATAGAAGAAAGCCAGGAGATTTAACTCATCTGCAATTTTTATTGAAACTCGCCCTCTACCAGCCAGTCACTCAGATCTTTTGTAACATCCCTTGCAAAACATCTTCTACTCTTCCACCATCTCTCCCTTGTCCCGCACTCCCAATACTTTAATTCCCCCACCTGGGCTTCCAACTCACAACATAAAACAATTATAAGAACTTGTTTGATTAACCCATTCAGCTGGAAGATTCGTTGTGCCGGAAGGAGGATCAAATTCATCGCCACCACAATGGAAGTCACTAGCCATCCCCCCAACTGTTAGCTTCCTTTCCTTTCCATTAATTCCCCCTTTTCCTCGTTCCTCCCTTGCCCTTAGAATAGAAACAAACAAGAAATACGTACTCAAACAGCATACAGAATATTCCCGGAACCTGCGCCACATTCACACTGCTGATGGTCTTATCGAAAGTTTCATTCACATTCGTGCATGAGCCCCAGGAGGTAAGGGGGAGATCCGTACACGGCGCGGTCATATTTGCGTTGACGCAGCCCTGAATAGGGGTGAGGGTACCATTTGCGAGCTGCCGGGGAATGTACTACATCAAGTAAGTTAAGTATAAATTGAATAGGAATAAAATATCAAGACAGATTCAAACTTAAACATACCGATCGCCCAAGAGGAGACCCAGAAAGTGATACACGCGCTGCTTCAACACCTCCCATCAACACCAATGCCATAACCGATATAAACTGCATTTTCGTAACTCGTTGTTAAGGGGCAAAGATATCTGGGTGAGGAGTAAATATGGCTAAGGTATTTAGAGATGGGATAATCGACGAAGTATAAAGCTAAAAATGGCCAGGAGAGTGGTAGTATATATAAGCTTTTTGACTGATGCCAGTTACCATTTGGCGTGCGTCCCGACCGTCTTATATACCTTATGTGCCTATCATATCCACCATCCTCCCAGCCAATCCCTTACCACCGATAATGATCGGGTCCCAGAACGTGGCCTCCCACCGGAACGTAGCGGACTTCGCATGGTCCCAATATGCCCGTGTACCTCAAAATAGATTTATTTCTTAAGTTTATGGTGGTAGATTTTTGAGGTTGCCGTGATGCGAGATTTGTATATTAGCCTCAGGGATATTTTAATATAAAACTGCCTGTTCGTCCAGGGGAGATTTTCCGCTTCCGCTCTCCGGGTGACACACTCCGAAAAAGCTTGTTCGATAATAACCTTGTGATTAGAGTGAAATATTGATAGATACGAGTCCGTGGGACTTCGTGATGTGCCGTTTGTGGATAGGCAGATAAATAATTACGACTGCCTAGCAGCGGGTTGTTAATACCATGCAAGTAATTGTGTTGCTGCCTACCGAACGCTCTGCTTTCGGAGATGGTAGGGCTCGGATGCTGTCACCGAAGGGTATATGTCTGCAATGTCGCCCAATGAGGTAATTCACGGATAGAAATGGCTCGTTGGAGGATTGTTGTGGCCAGAAATATCTATTGCCATGTGTGTCTATCCCTTTTGAGTACCGGAAGAGCGCTTTGGGAATAACTGCCAATAACTACAACCTCGAAGAAGGTTCACCGAAAATATTCAAGAATGCCCCGTGGACTTCTTCCGTCAGATCGCTTGCCTGTAAAGACCTCCCTTTCTTTGAAAACGCCAACCTTGAGCATTCCTACGATAAGTCAGTAAGACAATCAACACTCCACACATCAGATACAAATATTCTTTTTGACAGACTTACCCGAGTCAAACTGCTCCCCCCAAAAGCCGCAAGAGCCAGCAATTCTTCTTCCCCCAAATCCCCTTCATGATCCCAAATCTTATCCAAATACGCCTTTCTCCACCCCAAAAATGTCGCCAAACTCCCCGTCAGCGTATCGCCCTGTCCACCACTCCTCTTTAAACCCCCCTCAATATCACTCACAAGCGTACGAACGCCATTAGAAATCAGATCCTGCTTCCCCTTCTGCACAATAGTAACGCCCCCAAAGGCTTTGGCCAGCGTTTCGACATCCTTCCCTCCCGCACCGCCCTGTGGTTCAATGCCCTTACTCTTACACAGACGCGCGAATTCCACCACATTGGGCGTTAATATGCATTCTTTATAACCCTGTACTAGCTCCGGTCTTGTTTGTGCGAGGTTGAGACCATCGGCATCGAGCACGAAGGGCATGTGGTTCTTTTTCGCGGCTTCGATTACTCTGGCGCATGTATCGTGCATTAAAAGGTCGCGCCCGAGCCCAGGGCCGATAACTAGGACGTGTAAACGTGGGAGCATGTCGATGACGGGCTGGGCAATTGCGGAGGGGTTTTGTTTTTCGGAGGAGGTGGCGTGGGGGGATTGTCGCATTAGGGGGTGAACCATTAGGTTGGGAGAGTAGGTTTTTATTACTTGGGCTGCTTGCGGCTCGCAGATTACGTGGCTCTGTAATAGAAGAGGTTGTTGATGTTAGCTACTTTACTAATATAGAATTGAATTGCAGGGAGGAGGATAGGGAATGCATCGAAGGACTCGGAGAGTACCATATCTGCGCCTAGTTTTGCGGATGCCATTGCGGAGAAGTATGGCGCGCCGGTATAGTCTTCACTTCCACCTATTACAGCAATCCGACCCATTTGCCCTGATATGCTACTAGTGTTAGCATTCCACGTCCGTCTTGCTGTGATCAGGCAAGATAGTCTTGCCTTTGTGGAATGATTGCAGCATCGGAGGGATCATTTTCTTGACTTTCGTCAGGATGTCTCTTGTTTTTGCAGACATTTCGGGGGCGTCTCCTGGCATTTCCAGGGAGAGAGGTAGGAGGAGTTGTGGTTCTAGTTGTGGCCGTAGTTGGAAGTATGAGGGTTGAATCTGGGGGTTCTGAGCTGTGAAGCTGCTGGATGATGTCACAGGTGAAGCGGCCGCCTCGGTGTTTGATATAGATCGTCAACTCTACCAACCTCCAAAACACAACACGATATTTTCTAATTTCAATTTCACGCACAGTATTAGACTTTAGATAAAGCAGTGGTGATGGAAATTATATCATCAAATTTCAGTCCCTAGAAGATGCATAGCAAGTTTAGTGCAATAATGTCAATTCACGATCTGTGCAGGCAAGTATTCAGGAAATGAGTGGCTTAGGATATATAACATACGAAGGAGTGCCTTCTAAGGGTAAAATATACAAAAGAAATTGAACGATTGAATGTATATCGTCAAATAATATATCAACACTCCAATTCAATAACACCAGATTGGTTCGCCCCCGCCTTAAACCTCAAAAGCGCCCCCGCTCATCCTCTGAAATATAGGAGCTTTAGCTTCCCTCTTCTTCAACATAAAAACAGGCTTATTCCCTTGCTTCTTCAACTTCTTAAACACCATAAGCGGCTTCTCGTCCAAGCCAAGACATCGGTCCTGGTCTGGGCATCGGATATATAATGAATACTGCTGCCAGCGGCCTTGGATACCGTATTTTGCCATGGCGACAGGGAGGACTTCTGAGGTTGGGCTATTCATGCTGACGCGGAAAGACTTTATGAATTCAGCAGACGGATTGCTGCAATTGGCCTGCGGCTTTTCTGGATTTGTTGGTCTGGTGGGGAATGATTTCCGGACCCTTAGTGGGGTGGGAGGGAGTACGCCGTCATCGAAGTTCCCCCAGCTGGGAACTATAATCGGAGATAGAGTTGACATTGTCCGATTCTGTGCCTCGCTTTGACATCTGCGCAATGGACCCGGGGCTCGTAAGTTCTCATTGTTCGGCTGCTCACATTGCTTGTGGATATCTGACACTCTTCGCTCCATCTCCCCGACTAAATCGCTTACTAGATGTCCAAAGCGAAGAGAACGGAGAGTAGCAAGTCTTGCCCGTGCTTGGTTGCGTTTGGGACGAAAATTCGGGTCCTCTTGGAGATGATCGTCGCTCTCGTTGTATTGTTGCCGGCGAAGTAAATCGTCGTATATGTCAGTACTCAGTCCTTGAAGTTGGCTTTCCGATAGGGCAAACAGCTTTTCTCGGGATGGACGAGGAGCATAGGCAGGAATTCCGGTTAAATATGTTTTGAGGGCGGTGTAATGCTCTGAAAATAGGTTTTCAGAGAGAGGCCCGTAGACCGATGTCGAACGTCGAACTACGGGCTCGGCAGGTAGTTCGCCAGGTGGGTTGTTAATTGCTGTTTCCATATGTTGATCGCTTCCTTGCTCTGGCTCCTCAAATACCCTCGAGATAGTCATTTGAAATGCAGCTGCAGCTTGAGATGGCCTGTTAGTCCTCCTCCGCGTTCTCGCCGGCGATGCGTATGGTGGTGGGCTTTCGTCCGAAGATTCCTGGATCTCGTCTGTCTGGGTCTGGGTCTGGTCTGGCTGGGTGTGATCAAGTTGTTGTATTTGCGGAAATTGACCGAGGGCTACCGATTTAGATATATCTTCTAAGCTATCGATGAGACCTTTAAGGTTCCGCACTTTTTCTTGGAACTTCCTTGCATCTGAGATGGCCCACTTGGCTAGGCTTAGGAAGGACCTTGGCTTGTGACTCTCATGGTTGAACGACGGGAGTGACGGGAGAGAATCGCGGGACTTGTAGCTTTGGAGGAATCTTGACGGGTTTCGAATACTGCCTGTCGAGGCATGCTTTTTGGGCTTGAGATCATATTTTCGGCGGAGAATATTGATCTCGTTCAATATGACTGCAATGCTGTTCACAGCTCGGGTAATAGGCTTTTTAACCTCTGGCCGATCAAAAATTCCATGGTCCCCGCGACCCGGGTCATCGATATGAATCCCGACCTGTCCTGAATCAGCAAAACGTAGAGTATAGAAGTGGTTTCAGAGAGCATACTGATTCTGCCCAAAGACGGATCCTCAGTAACTGGAGTGAAAGCTCCGTACACAACAACTGGTATTCGGAGCCAAAGTCTTGGGAGGTGAGGATTGACTTTAAGCTATTGCTAGATTCTCGGACGAGAGATGTCACTGATGATGCTGCCATATCTATGAAAGTGTAGTATGGATCGAGGCTAGGTGGAGAAGTAGAGCATCAACAGCACCGTGATGCTACAGTATGACTTGGCTCAACATTAATAGTAAGACGTTCAAGAAGCAACTGTGACCTTTCGTTTCGCATGCTGCGGTGTTGGTAGTACGGCCGGTGTAGCCAACCCGTTGGGTATCTTTTTTAAGAACAACATCGAGGAGGGATTTGTTGGTACTAAGTACTTTTAGGTGCCTGGGAATGCTGCGGGGGAAACAACGTGGGCATGACGAGAAGGTTTCCCGATGGAGGCCTTCTAATGCTCAGTTGATGCCAAAGGATTTGCTCGGGGCTTAGAATATTCCTACGACTACGGGCCAGTCCGTGCTCCGGAGCACGAGTGGTACCCGTGAGGATCGTCCTTTTGACGTTGTTGACAGGATCGCAACCTGACCGATAAACACTCCGCCAATCACCAGCGCGAGCATCGTGATACTTGGCGAACGAAGGATCGGGCTGGGAAACGGTAGCGAACCCGCTGAAACATCGACCGCTGAATAGCCACTGGTAAGCCACGTTGAGGCAAGTTGGTTGGCAGGTGCGGCGAAGCAGCACCAGGCAACATGTTGTCGTGAAGCCCGAGGCCCCGTGAACACCGGATGTGAGAATAATTACTTAAGAAACCAGCTCCCCATCCCCGAACGGCCGGGAAATGCTCACCTCGAGAGAGAGATATGTTCTCGTTGCTGACGACAATGAGTAATAAGTGCATGTATCCTAGTGTCTCACTGGCATCTGTCGTCGTCATTCATGGCACTGCAGAGGTGAATGATGGGTAATCATGTAGTGATATGTCCCGATTCCTGAAGTCTCTCTCATTTGTGATGGAGGCGTCCTCCGCCGCAGATAGTTTCTGGAGCTTGCCCCTATGGCCGTAATAATGTACTCCATACTTCGGACTAGAGTTTTAGCTGTCTTAGCAACGCCCATAGATAGGTGCCTACGTGCGTAGGTAACAACATTGATGCGGCGAAGAATGAGGTGAGGTTAGACCACCGTCACCGTCACCGTCACCGTCATGCGTTCGCGCCGCCGTTATACAGGCGATCGTCAGTCAGTCTTTCCTATGCTCATGAGGTGAGGGGTAGCAATAATGTCGCTGATGAAGGGGCAACGCGTCCTTCAGACCTTCTACGTCTTCCAAGGTGTGTTCCTTGCCTTGGATATTACTGTGCATTGTTATGTAATAAACATGTGGAATTGCAATATATGTACGGAGCACCCCGTACCCTTCGTACAAATAATGTCTTAATCGCAGGATCGGTTCACCAGGTTGAGAAGAATAAATAGCCACAACACGGGCATTGCGCACCGCCATTGGTTCGTCGCAACTCTGAAACCGGCAGTGCAGCCCAGTGCATCCCTTCGGGGTTCGCAGGCAAGGTGATCATGATAAATGCTAGGGATAAGCAACAGGGCCCTGGGCGCCTTAAGTCTTATTAACCAGTCTCGAAATACTTTCCATGGGACTTGGATGCCGCTCCGGTCCCTCCGGACTTTCTTAGAGTTCTGAACAAGCCTTGAGTTACTTGATCCTGATGATCCTGATCATGTCTTTTGTCTTTTGCCTTTTGCCTTTTGCGCCGCAGACACTTCCATCAAGAACTTGTCTTTGCGCTTGGATGCGTGGCGCTTGGCCGATTGGAGGAAAACGTAAACAAAACGTGGGCTTGGTGCCCCTCCCCCTTTGTGGCGCTGTCGGCCCCGCAGAGGAGGTTGATGTTGATGTTGATACGTGGATACGCCCCTGAGAAAGGAAAGAGCAGGGCAGAGGAGGGAGCAGAAGTGACGGGAGGGCTTGCGGAGAGCAATAATAATAATAATAATAATGAGGAAGAGGAAGAGAAGCTCAAACGAGGAACAACAAGAAGAGGTACGAGTATAGCCAACGTTTGCAATTGCAATTATAATTGTACCTGTACCTGTAACTGTAGCTGCCATTTACTTTCGTACCCCATATTATATTCGCCCACATATTGGGTGTTCGTCTTGGTTCGTTCAGTAAGGTAGGTACTTACCTACTTGGGTTACTACGACCCTATTTCTGCATCATCTATCGCCGTTTGTTGACGCGTTTGCAAGGAAGTCGCGACACACCCAAGCCCAGCCGGCGTGCCTAAGACTCTCTAAGACTCCAAGTGTCAAGTGTCAAGTGTCAACACCAAACACCAAAACACCAAAACACAAACATTCACTTTCGCTTCGCTGGTCTCGCTGGTCCTTTGCTCCTCCTCCACTTTCGCCTTTTACCCTTCCCCTTCCCCTTCCCACTGCTTCTCCGCATTGACTCGCACGCTCATTCCAATCTCCAATCTCGCTCACACTCTCTCCACCCGCATATTTGGCCAGCTATTCTGCCCTTCTACAGTACGTATTCACACCGCGACTCCTGATTCCGACCGGACCCGCGACTACGAAGTACAGCTTAGCTGTCGTACACCCTCAATTGCGCCCTCATCTTCTCCTGCTGCAGCTACAACGGCCACGACCCCAGAATCTGCATTGGATCACACCGCAGCTCTTCCCACCGCCCACCCACCACAAGATGGCTCTCCAGAGCACCTACGAGCGGTTTCTCGCATCGCCCAACCCTGCTCTCCTCGCAGACAATGCGTCCCTTCACTACATCACCACCCTGACTACCGTTACCAGTGCCGGCGAGATCATCAAGCACCTTAATAATCAAACCCACGAGCTCGCGAAGAGGGAGCAAAAGGTTCTCTCGGCCGTCGAAGGAACAGATTCGTTAGCAGTAGAGATCCACACCACCATTGAATTCTTAACGGGAGGAGGTGCTTATCTGCCGAAGTTGGATGATAACTTCCTAGCTGATCGCCTTGCGACCTTACCAATTGTATGTTAGGTGTCGTTTTGCCCCGCCGCTGTCTACGGTCGCTATTCTATGCTTCCCGTTCTGTGCCTCTGCTTACTTTTTGCCTCCTCAGATTCACATCGTCGCCTTCGATGCCAACGGCCAGATTCTACAAATCCGGCAGAGCTGGGATCAAGGCTCTCTTCTCAAGTTGATCGATGTGATCGGCAGCACCGGCCGCAATTGGCCAATCCTGGATGGAAAGGATCATATCAAGTTGATCAATTCGAGTGTTAAAAGCGCCGGTACATCGCCCGCTGGTGGAGCTTCAAATTCGAATGCCGATGATCAAGGTCCGAGATCCCGAGGCGACTCTACCAACATCACACGCGATCCTCATGCAACATTGTCTCTATTTGCGCCGCGCGAGAAAAATGGCCAAGATGCCCTCCCAGCCGTGGTTGCCCCTCGCGCCTCAGCGAAACCACCACCTCGCGAGTACAGCGAACTCTTTGTTGGAGGGTATACAGAAGACGCCTTACCTAACCGTACCAAGGCGTCTGCCCGCGAGCCCTCGGAATCTCCCCCTAGGGCCATTGCTTCCAAGGTTGGCGCAGGCAAAAATTACTCGCCGTCGCGCATCTTTGATGTCGATCCCGAGGAAGAATCCTCGGCGGCTGTAAAGAACCACTCCGCAGCCCACTTATATCGCGCCAACCCCAAAAAATACCAACACTTTGACTTCGGAGATGGCAGTGAAGAACCAGAAGAAACCCCTCGTCAGCGTCCACTCAAGGCAGTCAAGTCGAGCAAACATGGAAGCCAATGGGGTTTTGATGATTTCAACACCCCTGCAAAGGTTGTCCCAACTAAATCCCTGCGCACCAACGACGTTAGACACTGGGGAAACAGCGATGATGAGGTTATGGATAGCCCTATCAAAGCTAAGAAAGTCGACAAACCTCGCCCGACTCTAGAACACAACTTTGAGTTCGTAGATGATGGCACGCCAGAAGGGGATCGTCGTCAGACTGGACGGCCTCGGGGAGCAGGTCAAAATACCGGTCTGGGCCTGTACAAGAACAACCTATACGATGACGAGAACGGTGGTGCTATCGGCGAGGAGGCTAAACAACAGGTCACGATTGCGAATGTAAAGGATCGCCGCAAGGACTTTGACCCGCATTTCGCTATGACAGATGATTCTCCTTCCGGAACACCTCTTCCAGGAAAGAACTTTGCGTCAGGGGATAAAGAGCCATTGGCCGAGGCCCCTGATGCGGAAAGCAACAAGCAGAAACCCCAAGGCATTAATATCGCTGGCGACGGAATGGGCGGCAGGATGGGTACTGGCAGACAATGGGGTTTCGGGGACGACAGCGATGGGGAGCAAACCGGCGGTGTCAACAAGCCGTCAAAATACAAGACCGGGAAGACATATGGTAAAGGCCAAGGATCCGGCGGTGATTTCTGGGATTTCTAATTCCAGCGATTTCTTGAGCGGAACTCGACGGATGTCACGGTGTGCATTGAGTATCACGGCTTATTAATGCCTAATGAGTACAAGAGTATGAGGTTTATGACTAAGGGTGCTTTTCCTTTCTATTGTATATTTCTTTTTTTTTGTTGAAGGATATGGGCCGTACGATACAATCGCTTCTACTTTTATTGTTACATTGTTACTAGTTCTGCGGCCTTTTATTTTGCCCATTGCTCGCAACAATATCCTGATAGGGAAAAGTTGGGGATCGAATTTGTCGGTGTGGTTTCGGTTCTGGAGGTTTAGATTGGACCTGAATACCTAAGAGTGGAACTGAGGCAGGGGAGGGAGAATGTCAATAGGTCGAGTGGAATGGATGTACGCAGTACGTTAGTTATTATTGTCAAGATAGCCAACCGAGTCTGGTAAAATAAAAAGGTTTACTTGAGTAAAGCAATATCGACGGCTTCTCCGCTGATATCCCCTTGTAGCTATAATGTGAGGTGAGAATTTTCTATTACTACATCCAGAAATATGTATCCGCTGAGGGTTCAGCTCCTCATTAGGGGCTTCTCTAGCTTCCGGTGTTTGGTTTACCCGCCTTTCCAAAAGAGGCCTCTTCCGCGAACAACTAAGCATCGATACACCCAACCCTCTTGAAAGGTACTCTTGAAAGGTAACCCACATTATATATTATCAACATATTACCTCTTACCTCCTGGTGTGTCTCACTAAACAACAACTTCCTCACATCCCCTCGGTGTCCTCACCCGATCCTTAACATCACAGGTGATCCACAGCACATCCCTAACCTCCCTGCCCACCTGCTCAATAACATCCATAGCCCATACTACATCCAGATGCTCATACTCCTCGATAACCTTCTGGTGCACGACTCGGACAAATGGTTCCCTCCCATTCTTAAATCGACGGACGAGTTTTCTTCCGTCGACTAGGGCGTCTGCTCCCGAGACCCAAAGGGCGAGGGGGGGCATGCGGGAATCGTACCAACATGTTTGTTCTATAGACAAAGGCTTTGGGGGTGAATTATTCGTTGCACCGAGGGAAAAATCAATCGCCGCCATGTCATCAGCAATACGCTCCTCCTCGGGGGTTTCAAGAATACACCTATTCGTTGCGAAGCCATCGCGCCCTAACCACCAGTGCATGCATTGGGCACTGACATGCACGGGGGAGCACTGGAACATGCGATTCCGCAATCCCCTATCCCAGCGTCTATCTGACCAGGAGAATAGATAATTAAACATGTGGTATCCCATAGCGCCGTACAAACGGCCGGGGATAATGCCTTTCATCGTCATCATGATCGGGATGAAGGAGTGGACACCAAATACCATGTGGTAGAGAGGGAGAGATAGTCTGTTGATGAATTTTAGATACCATTTATCGAGCCAGGGGCCACCGTAGACGGCGGGAGCGAGAGCACAGAAACTGGTGAACTTGTCACCCAGGTCTGGACGCTGCTCTTTGGATAATGCGATAAAGGTTTGTGTTGTACCTTGCGAGTGGCCAACGAGACCCAATTTTTCGAACCCCGTCTCGGAGAGGACGCGGGAGGTGAACGCTGGGAGATCATATACGCCCATTTCACGCGGAGACCAGGCCCATAAGCGTGGGTCGGAAGCTTTGAGGGATATGTGTTCGGCGCCTGAACCGCAACGATTGTTGCCCAGCCAAACATCGTAGCCTGCTTTGCACAGGTAGAAGGCTAGAGAATCATCGTCGTTGGAGCAGAATGTGCCGATGGATTGCATTAATCCATGGAGCATAAGTATTGGGAATTTGGGCTTTTGGGATGCATCGAGTGGGCGAGATGGTCCTGCGCTGGTGAAAACCCCGGGTCCTCTTGGGCCTCTCTGGTCTTCGGTCATGGGCTCGTATTCCCTTGGGTTGTAGACGTGCCAGAGCTCGAGGATATAGCCGTCCTCTGTCTGGACTTTGAAGCATTCAACATCGAGTCCGACTCTCCGTGCATAGTACCCCGCATCGTTCACGACTGGATCAGGTCCTCCTTCTGTTGGCGGGAATTCAAGTCCAGCCTGGTTCTCGACGTCGTCTTTTCCCATCCTCTTCCAGGTATGCTCTTCCTCAATTCGCCTTTTTCGCCGCCTCTTTTCCTCATCATAGAAGGGTCTGTCAGCATCCGGATTTTGGAGAATCAGGCGTCGTAGGGAATATTTAAATAACCCAGCCACTGTGTTGATTGTTGCCATAAAAGAGGTCACAACAATATATAGTGAAGATAGTCCGAGTGATGATGTGCGAATTACGAATACTTTTAGCTTCGCTGCTGGGGAATTCCCGTATGATGTTTGAGGAAGGAAGAGATGGCTTGATGGGGCAGATAACCACAGGGCCTTTTTCTCTTCCTCTGGCGGTATTTCATTTCCTGGATGAGATAATGATGGCGTTGGCGTTGACGATGCATCTACGCACTTTTCTGATGCGGGGTTGCGCGTTGGAATTGAAGACTCTACCACGAAGCCTTGTCCACCACGTCGCGAGGCGACAGGTGGTAGAGCCACCAAAGGACCGCCGGAACTCATCGTATAGTATTTAGGGGTTTAGAGCTTGGATCTACTTCGAGTCGGATTGTCTAGATGAATGGCGCGCAGCGGGATATAACGACATGACGTAGTAACGATACGCGGGCCACAGCCTTCAGATGGCGGAGTCTTACATGAAGATACAGGTATATATGAAAGAGCAAGCAGAAGAAAATATTAGAAGTAGACGCTGGAAATGACTGAGAACATATAAATGTGTTGTATTGGAGTTGAGTTGGCTGGTAGAATCGGGATGTTGGTTATCGTTCCTGGATACGACCCTGGAAGTCTAAGCTCGACTGGGATTAACACCCGGTTGGTTCCTAGATCTGCCACCTACTCGTACTCGTATGACGTCGATATCCTATGAATAAAGACCATCTTTACTATTTTCCTTTGAGATGCTCGTCTCCACTAGACAATCCCCATTCTCTATTGCATTTAGGTTGTCGATGTGGCGGGCGCGCAAAATATTCGGGAGATTTTCTAGCCTATTGAAGTGTAGGTAGTGCTAGGATATGGTCGGCATTAGGAGGACGGCTTGAGCGAGTGCTCTGGACCGGTTCCATTCCAGAATTTTAATAGAACTCACCTTTCGGCTAAATTTAATCTCTAACCAAAAAAAGTATATATATATAAAATAGGAAAGAATCGCAAAAGAAAGAAATACCGCCCGTTTAGCGGGATTAGCGGTACCGAGAAACGCAATTTTTTGTATTATCTCTGGCAGAGTGTCCTGGGTCCTCCTTGGCAGTGGGTTATGGCGGCCTAAACGCTGACCGGTACGACCGTCTTTCCATGTCACCAGTCTCTAGTTGCTAATATAAAATCGCGTATTTGGTTTTATACATCTACCCAGGTACTAGACTGCGCGCCGGTATTGCCGATACCCAGTTCCTCTTGTGATTTTAGAGCATTTACCTTTTCAGAATTCTTTTATCCTCTTCTCTGATACCTATCACCCAAGGCTAGCCATCACTGTTAATTTGTCTCATATTCGTCTCATTCCAAAATCATAGGTAGATGTGCCCGGAGTAAGGAATTAAAATGGAATCGACCTTTTTGAAGAAGGTTGGTGTAAAGAGCTCCAGACCCATTCAGAGGAGTGATATTGTTAGTGAAACCTGGAAATAGTACGTAACAGGTCTTCTCAAGCCAAATATGCCCATATCTTGAAGTGCCTTAAACTACCCATCCAACGCTTCCCTAAGGCTCTGAAGCTTATTAAACCATCCGTCCGACATCCGGCTCCGACTGTTTCAAACGAGCCTTCCACTTTTGCCCTTGAATTGTCAAATATTTACAACATCATCATTCCCACAGCAACAATGGCGAAGGTTGAGATTAACCCAGCACCGAAACCCATCTCCCGGCTAGCACCGCTCGTTGTAGCGAGACCATTTGCCGAAGCACCAGCAGTAGGAGATGCCGAAGCAGAGGCAGCCTGGTTGTTGGCTATACGAGGCATCAGCACACAATATCACTTGTAAAATTGTCCGGATTGTACATACTGTTCTTGGAAGTCTTGGTAGACGCGCAGATACCCATGAGCGTAGTGTTGCTCATCAGAGCATCTAGCTTTGTCTGAGCAGAAGAAGCTTTAGCCTGGAAAGCAGCCATTTTGGTAGCGTTGTTCTTGGTTTTGCTTGCAAGGGCAGTCGCATTGTTGGCTAAGTTGATGAGCTTGTTCAGAGACTTCATTTGCTTGCATTCCCCCTTGGTCTTCTGTGCAGCATTGATAACGGCGCAAGAAGATACAAGCGTGGCATTTGATGACATTGTTGCCAACTTGGTAGATGCCTCCGACGCCTTGGCCTGGACATTGGCGATCTTTGTGGCGTTGTTCTTGGTCTTTTCGGCTAGTTTGGTCTCGTTTGCGGCGAGCTTGACAATGTTGTTCAAGAAGTTCATTTCTTTGCAAAGGGACTTCTCAGTCACGGGTTTGGTTGAGTTGCCTTTGCCCTTGGCTACCACCGCCGTCGAGAGCAGAAGGGTGACGAAGACGCTGAAAAACTGCATTTTGGCGACTGGAGACTTGGGAATAGAAACAAAAAATATAATTGATGATAGGGAAGAAGACGGTCCAGCCGAATCGCAAATATGTACAAGTCTGGTTGAAGAATGAAGAGAATAGTAGATGATCGATGCCAAGTGAAATTCCAAACAGGGACGCCAATGTTCTCTTTAACAGATCCAAACTTCGGCAATGCGCAATCCAATGCGTAATCATTCATGAACAATGCCATGGCCTGGCCGAGAACGTTGGCTGATAAAGAACTGTCGTGGTTTAGCGCTACCCTGGAACGAACCTGCTACAGAACAACCTGCAGTCCAAACGAGGGGCTTGATTTGAATGGACAATGAAAATAGTGTGCCAAGCAGAACCAGCTGATCCTTTCCTTGCCCATATTCTGTAACATCATCCTCGATCGACTGTGCGCAACTTGCTCAAGGCCGCGTCTTCGCTCCCACGAGAAGGCGGGGCGGATCAATGAAGCCGTTATGCTTCAGATCTAGAGGCCCCAACCTCGTAACCCTAGAACCCGAGAAAATGTTGTTGTTTCTTGTCTTGGGACGAATTATTGGATGAGGTTGGGGTGTAGCGAAACATTGGGTGTTCAGTCCTTTACCGATGTTACAGAATTTCGCAACGGTACGCAACCCATGTCTCATCAAATTGGCTAGCGCTAAGTTCGAGATAAAACCAGCGAGTTTTAGATCACGAGGATAAAACATTGTTTGCTGTGCACTTGTTTTTAGTTGATGGGGCGATAGGGAGTATTGCCTCCTGTTGGAGAGATATGGCCTGAGAAGTCCGGCTTTATGGTAGAGCTAAGAGCGTCCACTTTCGCAATCAACTGTAGGGTACTTTGTACTGCTCGAGTATTCATTATCTCCAATTAGAGATATATATTCCAGTTTGGGAAGGCAGTGGACGCCTTATTGTATGCGAATGAGCTCCGGTGCTACACCGCCAGGGTTAAATTTGCACTCGTGGCAAAACAAAGGAAATAACCTTGATAGAAGGCGGGGCATTTGCTCCTAATGATATTGTAGAGATATGATGTTTACCAGTAGTCCGGCTTGTCTTAACGACTCTTTCCAAGCTTAACACAAGATCTTACCAAGGTTGAGCCCCATGTCCATTTCGCCATACGGTGCTCGCATTATTGATCTTTGAATAGCATCAATGACACTGTCATCTTATTATTAGCCATCCCATTCCTGAATTCGGAACGGATTGTCACAATGCGGTGACTTTCGCATAAAGGCTTGAGAGTTGCGTGGTAGGAGATCAGATCGTCTGATGTTGGAGCTCCACCGGCTGAGCCTCGGATTGGGCGGATAAAGCTTGTTTGTACTGCGATACAGGGTTATTATTAGCATTCGCTCAGGGGTCGACGGCGTCGACAAGACAAAGGACAAGTCTTAATGTCCTTCCTAAAGGAGGCCTCAATAATAATCCCAATGCTTTACGCCGTAACGTCGTCGTCTTAGGGTCGCCAGTTATACGTCTCTCCACCCGGCGACTCCAGATGATGCGCCGTACGATGAAAGGAAAGAACAAAATTGACAAGAGTACACCATACACAACGGTGATTCTGTTGCTCTGACCACTCTCCCCGGTGAAACCTCGAAGCTTCAAACCCCCATCTGTCGGAGATCATGGCAGGGCACGATGACGAGGACAGCGTGCAACTGCTGCCGATCGAGCGTGAGCACGGCCAGGAGCAAGGGCGAAAATCAGCCGAATCCACGTCCTCGGCTTCGACTACGAGTTTGATATTCGAGCGCATCAATGAGCGCGCAGAGGCAGAAGGTCGGAAGTCGGAAAACGGCAACAGCAAGATGGTCACTCCCAAGTTTCCCCCGCGAGGGGAATCGCTGCGGTACGCCGACGATGGGCAAACACACGGCTCCTACGATGACGAGGAAAAGGACGACAATGAACTCGAAAGCGGGCCCTTCCTCAGCAATCGCTCTAGTAAGACCGTGGACAAGAAGTTACGGCGGCTAATATGGATTATTGGAGGTGTTTTCATGGGCGCATGGCTCCTTGCGTTGGCCGTGTTCCTTGGACGTCAAGCATATCGACCATCATCCGCCATAGCCCACGATCCTACTGCGACCAAAACCATCGGCTCGGGGAAGAAGATTACATTAGACCAGGTACAAACGGGACAATGGCGGGCAACCAAGCATGACATAAGCTGGATTGAAGGTGCAAACGGCGAAGATGGACTGCTTCTCAAGCAAGGCCAACAGGGGAACGCATATCTTGTGGTCGAAGATGTTAGAGGGAAGAAGGACAGCAGCGGACAACCAGGGGCCATTCCTGCGAAAACTCTGATGAAGGATGGAGGTTTCCAATGGGGAGGATCGAATTATACCCCGAGCCGAGTATATCCAAGCAGGGATCTAAAGAAGGTCCTCATCGCTACAGATTTCCAATCGAATTGGAGGCATTCTTTCCACGCGAAATACTTTATACTCGATGTCGAGACGCAATCGGTCGATGCACTTGACCCCTCTGTTCCTGATGGGAGAGTTCAGCTGGCCAGCTGGAGCCCCCAGAGCGATGCAGTTGTTTTCACGAGAGATAACAACCTCTTCTTGCGCAAGTTATCATCCGAGAATGTGACGCAGATCACAACAGACGGCGGCCCCGACCTCTTCTATGGAGTGCCGGACTGGGTATACGAAGAGGAAGTATTCGCTGGTAATAGCGCCACTTGGTGGGCCGACGATGGCAAGTACGTTGCTTTCCTGCGCACCAATGAATCACAGGTACCGGTATATCCCCTTCAGTACTTTGTATCAAGGCCCAGTGGAAAGGCTCCGGAACCCGGCCTTGAGCATTATCCTGAGGTCAGAGAGATAAAGTACCCCAAGCCCGGAGCGCCCAACCCAACTGTTGACCTGCAATTCTACGATGTAGGTAGAGGGGACGTCTTTGAGGTGAAGGTAGCGGATACCTTTCCTCCTGACGATCTGCTGATTACCGAAGTTGTCTGGGCTGGTGCATCAGGCAAAGCCCTCATCCGTGAGACCAACAGAGAGAGTGACATACTGCGGGTCGTTCTAGTTGATGTTGAATTACGAACTGGGAAGACCGTGCGAACTCAAGATGTTCAAAAACTGGATGGTGGCTGGTTCGAGGTATCTGAGCATACCAAATACGTTCCGGCAGACCCCGCAAAAGGGCGCCCCCACGATGGATACATCGACACGGTTATCCACGAAAATTATAACCATATTGGCTACTTCACACCCTTAGATAACCCGAATCCAGTCATGCTCACCTCTGGAAACTGGGAAGTTGTGGATGCGCCATCTGCTGTGGATCTGAAGAACAACCTAGTATATTTTATTGCAGCAAAACCCACTCCGATCCAACGACAAATATATAGTGTGAAGTTAGATGGGACTGGGGTACAGGCTCTTACGGATGACAATAAGGAGGGCTATTATGGGATCAAATTCTCTAGTGGTGCAGGATATGCGTTGCTAAGTTACAACGGCCCAAACATCCCGTGGCAAAAGGTCATCAACACCCGCAGCAATTCTGATCACTATGAGGATATTATCGAAGAGAATCCACGGCTATACGATATGGCAAAGAAGCACGAACTTCCAATCGACATCTTCTCGACGGTGAATATTGACGGGTTCGATCTACAAGTGGTTGAACGTCGGCCACCTCATTTCGACGAAAAGAAGAAATACCCCGTTTTGTTCCATCTTTACGGCGGACCCGGATCTCAAACTGTCCAAAAGACTTTCAAGGTCGACTTTCAAGCATATATTGCCGCAAACTTGGGTTATATCGTAGTGACGGTAGATAATCGTGGTACGGGTTACATCGGAAGAAAGGCTCGTACAATCATCAGAGGCAATATTGGATACTATGAATCCTATGACCAGATCGAAACTGCCAAAATGTGGGCAAAGAAGAAGTATGTCGATGCTTCGAGAATGGCCATTTGGGGTTGGTCATATGGGGGGTTTCTAGCACTGAAAACGCTTGAGCAGGATGCCGGGCGGACATTTTCATATGGCATGGCTGTCGCCCCTGTGACAGACTGGCGGTACTACGACTCGATTTACACTGAGCGATATATGCATACACCACAACACAACCCTGGCGGGTACGACAACGCGAGTATAAGCAACGTGTCAGCGCTACATCAGAACGTTAGATTCTTAGTGATGCATGGCGTTGCAGATGACAATGTACACGTACAAAACTCTCTGACACTGCTTGACAAATTAGACGTGGCGGGTGTGGAAAACTATGACGTTCATTTTTTCCCAGACAGCGATCATGGCATTTTTTTCCACAATGCTAATAGAATTGTCTATGATAGTAAGTGCACCCTCTAAATTGCCATGAAGAATGGAGACAGTGACTAACGATCTATAGAATTAAGTAATTGGCTTATCAATGCATTTAACGGCGAATGGCTTCGTACATCCAACCCGGTTCCTTTGAAGATCGATGCGCCTCTTGAGAGAGAGTGATTGTATGATGTCACAATGGGAGTTTGAAAAGGCGTTCACAGGTTTTAAGGCATACCCAGCGGTACAATGTACGTTGATGGTAGTAGCGACATGTTATTTAGATAGTGTCACATACAATGAAAATAAGGACAATTTATACTAGGCCTCGCCTGAAAGTAGCCGGTCTTTAGGGGCAAACAGTGTTCTTGAAAACATGCCGTTTTCCAACCGTAATCTTAATACGGAGGTCGCGGTCATAAGTTTGGAGAATATAGGGCGTTAGAGCTGTATTCTCCAAACTTATGACCGCGACCTTCGTAATAGGCTCCAAGTGGGCGCCGCCGATTAGCGATTGTCTATTTAGCTTCTACTACTCCCAAGCTTCTGGGGTGGTAGGCAGCGGCTCGCGTGTGTCCATACTCCTAGTGCTAGCCGGTCTAGGAACAAAACTGCGAGAGGCCATTGCAGCTGATCTACCTGCTCGGAGGAGGTTCGAGGAGGGCTGCCGACGACCTCTTGAAAAAATATCGGATCTTGGACTGGATGCTGCAGAAGTCCGGGGCCTCCTACTAAGTCTCAGGGGCTCCGGGACGTCGCCATATGGTCTCTGGCGCGAGCCGATGCTCTGCTTTCTCTGGCTGGAAAGTTGGTTGCGGTAATCCGTGGCTCGTGAAGCGCGACCGCCGCCGCGAGTACCTATTTTTGTTGTGCGCGACACCTTGGCGAAAGCCTGGCTTCTTCCTCCATTGCAGCCGAATTTCGCCCCCTACGTTCGTTATCAGCAGCCCTAGATGTGTTGCTCATCTCATGGTCTGGTTGACTAACTGGGGCCGGGTTGAGAATGTCCTCTATCGACATCCGACCTCTCACTTCAGGGTGTCCCCTCGTTGGGGTTGAAGTCAAGGTATTAGATGAGGCTAAGAGCCTGCTTTCCTCAAAGTTTTGCTGACTACTCGTGGCGATAGTGATAGAGGAGCTCACATTCTGGCGATACGCTCCATTTTCCAGTTGCTCATCCTCCCCCTTACCCATAAGCATACGCATGCAACGTAATATGGGATGCCGGCGCCTCGGAGCTCGCCTGCAATTATTGCATCTATCTCGAGACCTATAGGGGCTATCCTCGTACTGTCTACATGGGCGTTGTTCAAGAGCGTGGCGTTCTAGTGAAATCCTCTTCGTGATGCAGATGTCGTTTCTGCACTCCATGTGTCCACAGCGAAAGATAGTCACGATATAAATACACATTTTGATGTAATAGGAATGCCGAGGCAGGTATAGTAATAGGAATACCGAGACAGGTATACCTATTTGGAGATAGCGGCGGCCCTGATATATAGCTTCGGGTAGAGCTCTGTCTTATTCTTATCAGATCACTTGATCTCGAGAACAGGCCAGAAACAATACCCCCTTAACGACGGTCCGATTTTAACTCAACCTTTGTTATATCCCAAACATATTATAATTATATAGGTGGCTATAGTGTTGACTGTTTTGGCAGGTACACGATTCTGTCCAATTAAGAGATACCATCGGGCTATCTGGGGTTTAATTGGCGCTGTAGCCACCTACAAGCTCCGTTATAGCTTAATAATTAACTGTATGTCCTTCCCCTCCTGCTACTTGCTTGCTTGAATATGAACGGCATAACTTCCAGGCTCTATTTAATCCTAGAATTACAAAGCTGTTCTGAACATCAATATTCGCGGTCAAAGCATAGCGAGCTCTATTGTAAATATGTTTTGATCTTTTTATTTTCGGCTCTTTGTTCCGGATATATCGTTATGACAAACTCTTTGTGTTTCGCTTCAATTTCACAAAGCACAAGTGGTCTTTGAGAGTTGGAACATAGAGCGGACAAAGGAAGCATCACATATAAGAACTCTCTGCCTATGTTGACAAGTACTTTGTTTCCCTTCAATATTTTTATCTGCTTTTGGTTTTAGCCTCCATCTGCTGCATTTCGAGCATATCATATTTTCGGTCTCTACCCTCCACAGCCGACACTACAGCTGGATTGCCAAACACACGCGTCCACTAGACATCACTAGATATCATATATCTCGATACCATGTTTCCCAACCCACCCCAAGGACCCTATCAGCCGTTAAACCCATTCCCAACAATATCCCAAACACTTCAAAGACAAGGCCTTAGCATACGGATCCTACCCTCGCAGCTAACTGCAGCTGTTGAAGAAAGAGATCGGCTATTAACTTGCTACCAAGAATCCTTTGAAACCAACCCCACGGTTCCCACGGTTCCCAGGGTCCCCACAGTCCCTACCACGTTAATAAAAGCAGAGCCTCACTTCTTAGATCACTTTCGAGTATCGCGAAATGGGGGAAGGCTGCACAGATGCTGCGGAGCGAAGGCGAAAGCCAGGGCCATTCGCCCTCCAATTCCGGAGCATGATATTTCCGAAGCGTCATATTGGCTACACATAGCTGGGGCTATATGCTCGAAGATTAATCCCGAATGGTGTTTTCATGCAGTCTTAATGGCTGTAATGCTATCATTTCTGTTAGATCATATAGCACGTACAACTCCACATTAAGTAAAGTTATTTTACGGCGTGGTAATTAGTAGCAGTGTATAGTTCAACGTTCTTTTATTTTAGTTACGCTTTATTGAATACTACTTACTACTCTATCACTACTCCGTTTTATCATCTGTTGACATCAAGCTCTATGGTTTGCTGGTAATTTTACCTCCATATTAGAGTATCTTTGTAGTAGTTCAATATTATTGCATATATACCCTATGTTCATAGACTTCGCAGCTCCTTTGTAGTTTATAGGTTATGAGCCTACATTAGCAGGACAATTTAAAGGATACAGCTACTGCTCTTGTGTTGCACTTGGTTTAGCTAGTCGTTTGCCTTGAAGGCTTTTGAATTCACTTGTAAGCACTGAATAGACTTGTCTACCCTGCATACGTATCCAGCGATAGAACACAAAAGATCGAGTGAATTAATAACCAAGTCTAGCCTAATTGAGAGTCCTCTGCTTTAAATATTCGGATCCACTGCTCAATTTATTTAACCAAACAACCTACAACAGTACATTGGCCTTTGCTAACCGCAACCACACCCAACTAACTCCCAACAATGCAGCTCACCACGATCGTCTTGAGCCTTTTCGGCTTCTTCATCGTGGCTCGTGCAGCTGACTCTGACCTTAACCTTCCCTACCCGCTCGTGCCCTTCCAATACAATGGTATCCTTGGTGGACACAATGTTCAGCTCAACGGCACCATCCAAGATATCTATGCTCAGATGAAAGAGCTCCATCCCGATTTCGAGCTTGAGCATGCCATCCAGAGCCGCGCTGAAGCCTCGAACTTGACAACCCATGATATCGCCAACACGTTTGATTATTACTGTTGCCCAGTCCCCGGTCACAAGTGGCAGTGGGCTCTTGGTCCTCATATCCTGGACGGGATCAAGTACCTTAAGGGCATCGATATCTGCGATGTTGGTGCGTCGTCCTGCGTCCGCATCGGCTGCTCATGGAACTCCGCTATCTATCTATGCAATGATAATAGGTTCAAGATCACTCCCATGTGCAACTATATTGCTAGCTACGCGAAGGATTTGATCGACAAATGTAGCGAATATCCTCCTGTTCATACATTCCTTACATGTGGACAGGAGTTTGATACCGATGGCTACAACGTTATCGTCCGCGAGGATAGGTGCTAGGCGCCATCACCCAAACAACTCAACTCACCACCTTGCAGATATGCTTTCTTCTGTCTTTGCGCCAACACACCGTCTAGGCACCAAGCAGCATCAAGCCAGCTCTAGTGAACAAACCGAATACCATCAAATACAAAGACATAGTGAGAAATGTAAATCAACGGAAATGGGAAACTTTAAAGGGCAGGATTGATGGCAAAAGGGGTAAATCTCGGAGCAAAGTCAAGGGCTATAGTATTGGGTTATGGTTCATGCTCGGCTAATCCAGGCCTCAATTCCTACATGCATTTTCAACAAGCCTCCATACGATCATGTCCTTATAGCAATTCAATCTTCAGCCCACACAAATCCTCTCCATAGCTCCTCTGAACGCTCATACGTAACGAAAAGTAGTAGGAAATGTTCAACGGAAAAGTAATAAATGCAGATCCGAAAGAAACAAAGGAAAGTAAGCAAATCAGATGGCGGGCGGTCTTCAACTATATTCACCTCGAAAGACGCGCTTTTTGACCACTAATTATTCTAGTACTGTCGATCTCAACCATCTTAATCGTCTGTAAGTCCCGACAATAGTTGAAGATCACTCGAGAAATCCTTGCACTTGAAGGCCCATGGCGTAATCTTACTAGCAAGGCGAGGTACGAGGGAGATGCAGGGGAGTGGTAATTTTCATTGTTAATACTTTCTTTGACGGAGCTTTACCTTTTCACATCAACACCCATTTCCTATAACTAACAAAAGAAAATTTCATTCTGGGATATATCAATCCCACTTCCCGTATATGATACAGATGCATTCGCTAATCTCAGACATGGCTTGAATATGCCAAATCAACATACCGCTTTATCCGTCTCCCATTATCCATTGTTTTACATCCCAGACTGCTCACTTCACCTATTTCGCAAAGTGTAGATCATATCCAAGCCATTTCCTCGCGTTGACTTGGGGCACAGTAAGGCCTGGGTAACCGTATGTCAAAGGCAAGAAGAAGTACCATCCTCCGATGACGACGGCAATGATAACACCTGCCGCGGCCCAGGAAGTCAATAGATTTTGGCCTGCGAGCTTCTCGCGCGCTGGAAGATGCTTCTTGGGTGCCTTTTTACCGCCCTTGGCGACAGAACCATCATCGACAACTGGCTCTACGTTGAAGATGAACTCCAATAAGGCGCCAGTTACCAGTACAGATGCGAGATGAGCTGGCAAATAATGATGCAAGAACAATTGGCGACCCATAAGGTAGAATGGCAGGTAGTGCGTGGCCCAGGCGAGGAAGAAGAATCCAGTAGAGTTATAGAGTCGTGACCGTGTACCTGGAAAAGTCAGTGACATGTCAAAAAAGAACAGATATAGACTTACGTTGGTCTAAGGCGTCAACACCGCGGCGGAGCGACAGTTGATCAGCTGCAATAATTCCAGCATAAACAGCGAGAAGACTGCTCGCCAACCACCAGCCCAAGGGATTACCAAGGAAGTAGATTTGTTGACGAGTATCATTGTGTGTCCAGAAACTGACACCTCTCAACAGGAATGGCCAGATAAAAGGTTCACTGGCGTAAGGGTGGCTGCTCGTCAGAGCATTGTTATGGAAGAACATGGCTCTTTGTAATTCGAACCATTTCTTGAGGAAAGGCATGGATTTGACCTTGCGCTCTTCCTTGATCAGGCGCTCGCTATCCTTTGGAATAGAGGGGATCTCGTCCACCAACCAAATGTTGGAGCTTTGGCCAAGATTCTTATTTCCGTTGATTTCTTGCTGCTTGTATGCCCAATCCGGCAGTGGCGTGGTATGGGTCCACATTGCAACCTTGCTTGGGAAGTGGACGAGCTTGAAGTGGCTGGCAAGACTCTTGAACTCTTGTCTTGGCTTGCTATTTTCGATTCGGATCTCAAAAAGAGTATCGTTAAAACGATCACCCAAAGCACTTTCCATCGGCACAGTGCTGAATTCCTGATTGGTGGGATAGTAAGGCGAGGCAACATCATGGGACAAAAGCATGGTGTCGGTAACAATGTGTCGAAGTCTCACAACGTCACTGTCTTGGACTGGTTTCCCCAGAACTTCGTCATTCTCAACAGGGAGGATTTGCCAATGGTTGTTAGCATCCGCATATGGATACCCGGTCACTTGTTGGCCTTGACTGGAAACTCTGCCATCGTCGTACCTCAAAGGGTATTTGTCCGGATGACTGTGTAGATATGCGTTCGTTTCCTTATGCTTGATTTGAATGTGGTCGTAATAATTGATCGTTACTGCGTTGGCGGACATTACATTGTCGCTTAGAGTTTCTTGGAACTCAGGAGACATGAAGTCGTCGCCGGGGCCAGACCGGCTCAAGATAGTGAAATGAACCTGGAACCAGAACAAGTAGAATAAAAATGGGACAATAATCAGAGCAAAGGCTCGAGCAGCAAAGTGCTTCGCGAATTCCGGAAGGTCTAGTGCACCTTGGCGGCGGTTGACGTTCAGAAGATCCCAGAGATCGATTGCCACGGCTGATCCGATAGTGATGAATGCAAAAAGACCGACGTACTTAGTCGACATGTCGCAGCTAAGAGCGAAACCGGTGAGAAGAAGCCATTTCCACCACTTGCGGCCAAATGGCTCGTGTCTGAGCTTGTAAAATTTGATGTAGCACAGCAAGCTGCAGGCCATCGCCAATACAAGGGTGGCGTCAAGGAGGATCAGTCGGGTTTGACCAATATGTGCGTTATCGAAGAGGATCAGGCCGGCGGAGAGGATACAGGCGGGAAGAGTGTATCCAGACTCCCACATTATGTTAAATACCACCGGGACCGTTAAAGCTCCTAGCAGAGCGGGCATTGCTCGAAATGCTACGTATGGAACCTTGTTTGTAACATAGGAGTCGCCAATGTTCTCAAAATGGAAGTGGCCATCATATCCCACGAACCAGCCCATAAGAGCGAAGAGAAGCTTGCCAAACGGAGGGTGAACATCGAAAAAGTATGTCCGCTCGAGATAATAGGAGGCAAACTATAGGTGGGCCAGTGTTAGCGGCGCTCTTCCAATCTGGATGTGTGCTCGCTGTATACCTTGCCAAAATGAACCTCATCGAAGACCACTTCATTAGGGTGGCTGATGCCCCAGAATCTCGTTACGAACGCCAATACTGTAATGATACCAAGCGCAATTCGGTAATTCCACTCTATAGGCGGCGTTGTACTTTCCCGAGTGGCCTTGACAAGAGCATCGAGTTCGGCGTCCCTAGGCGCTGCAATGCCAGTTGCGGAAGCATCCTTTGCTTTGAGGGGGGTTGAGGCATCCTTCCGTTTCCTCACGGAACCCGGTTGTGAAGACATCGTTTCCCAAACTACTAGATAGGGTAAACTATTTAAATATCAACGGCTGATTAGCTAGAGTTCAACGAAGAAGTTCGGGCTAAAGTCTCCGGAAAGCTTGAGCTCCCCTGAGGCTTGGGGGTGGAGGTAGAGAGTGAGATACCTAGGTACGGCTAGGGGGAACTTACGATTGAAAATGCCCCGGAGCAAAATTAATGAAGGAGAGAAAGAAGCATTGATCAGAGGACTGATCAATTGGCGACGTTATCCTCTATTAGGGGGAGATGCAGAGGGCGTTTCGGGAACTGAAATGGAATTACTTTTCGCAACGCGTAACGGAGGTAAGGTGTCCTGTCTCCTGCATTCCGCTTAGCGCAAGGCGTCCACCACGAGCAGGGGTATTATTGTTTATTATATGCACGCCCTGAAAGGACAGCGACAACATAGATGTCCGAGGCAAAGGTTAATCTTGAATCTCTCACAAGAATCTATTCCACTTAAAGAGCTTATATGAATTTATTCTCTCTTCCCAAACTGGTACCCTGCTAGGAGAGGGGTCCAACTTCCAAGACTCTAAGTAAATCGTTGCTGAGTAAGCTATAGGCCCCTGCATCACCAGTTGGTGTGGTAAGTTGCAGCAACATCAACACAACACCTAAGGTGTAACAGCTGAGAACCTCAACAACCAATCTATTGATTACAGCTACCTGCCCAGCACCATGAATACATTAACGGCTACAAAGTTCTTGACAAGGTTACGACCAAAGCGTAATGGCTTGGTAACTCGGATAAGCTTTTCTGAGTTCCCGACCCGTTACCGCTCGTCGCCAAGAACAATATCAAGCCTGTCAAAGATGACCCCAGTTCTAAGCAAAAATGCGATGCCACGTTCGTCATGCTTCAAATTATCAAACTGCAAAACCAGGAACTAACACCTCTAAAGCTGTTGGACCCTATGTGGGCATTCATCTCATCCATTCCCGACTTTCTCTGACTCGGCGTTCCATTTAGTCTCAAGCGATGAAAACACCACATGCTATTTACTGCTCAGGCCAGCTTCCAGCCGATGCGCAAGGAAATCTCGTGGAGGGTAGTATGGCCGAAAAGACTAAAGCTTGCCTTCAGGCCCTTTCCGTTATCCTCGATGAGGCCGGTTCCTCGGTGGATAAACTCGTGAAAGTGAACATCTTCCTCACGGATATGGATGATTTCGTGGAGATGAATAGGGAGTATAAGAAATGGATTAAGCACAAGCCAGCAAGGAGTTGTGTCGCCGTCAAGCAGTTGCCGAAGGGGGTCAATATCGAAATTGAGGGGATTGCCCTGCCCTGATGGGAAAAGCCGGCGTCTACTCGGTATCAAGGTGCAAAACCAAAACCACAGATGTGGACAATTCAAAGATTCAATGTTTGTGTTTCTATCCAATCATCACCATTCTCTTACCTCGCCGCCAGGCCCAAAGAATCCAGGAGAAACCCAAGGCTTAGCACCCTTCGACAATCTCCTCACCTGTTCCTCATCAATTTCAATCCCCAGTCCGGGCCCAGTCAACAGATCAATATACCCATCCTTGATATCCCAAACCTCGGGGTTTTTAGTATAACTCCGCAAATCCTCCGTCCCGGCATTATAATGAATTCCCAAACTCATCTCCTGAATCGCAAAATTTGCCGTGCAGGCATCGACCTGCACACAAGCCGCAAGAGCGATGGGCCCAAGCGGACAATGTGGAGCCAAAGCAACATCATAGGCTTCGCACATCGTTGCGATTCGACGGAGCTCTGAGATACCACCAACATGGCAGACATCAGGCTGGAGAATATCTACTGCAGCAGCTTGCAGGAAGGGTTTCACGTCCCAGCGACTGTGTAGTCTTTCTCCCAGCGCAATTGGTGTTGCTATATGTTGTGACAATTCTTTAATGCCCTCAATGTTCTCTGAGAGAAGGGGTTCCTCAATAAACATGGGCTGATGAGGCTCGAGGAGTTTGGCGAGCTGCTTAGCCATAGGCTTGTGAATTCGACCGTGAAAATCTATACCTGCATCCATTCCCAGGCTTTTCACGGTCTTCAGCCTTTCAACACATGACTGTAAAGCAGATGGGCTGTCAAGCCAACCCATGTCCTCCGTGGCATTCATTTTTACAGCGTTGAAGCCCTGGTCTTTACGGCCCTGACTACTACTTGTTAACTCAAAATCCTTTGTTATGGGCATATAGGGGACTTACGCCTGAACCAGAACATCATCAGGGCGATCCCCTCCAATCCAAGCGTACACTTTAAGAGTACTTCTAACCTTCCCACCAAGTAGCTGATAAATGGGGACGCCTAATTTCCTGGCTTTCAAATCCCATAGCGCAATGTCAATCTGTATCAATCTCCTCAATCAGTAGGTATATCCCTCAATCAGAAGGAACCAAACCAACCTACCCCACTCAACGCACTCATCATAACTGGACCTCCCCTATAAAACCCAAACCGATAAATCATCTGCCAAATATGCTCGATATCACTTTCCCACCACCTGGTTAGCCCATATCCTTCTTCTCTACTTCTACAAGGCATATCACAAACTTAGCTTCCATGCCCACAATCCTCTCGGTATAAGCGTCCAAACATCCTTCCACGGCCTGCGAGTGTCCTTCCAGAGAAGCCTCCCCCCACCCTGACGCACCATCCTCATCGGTTATTTTAACGAATAGCCAACGGGGCGGAAGGGGGAAATATTCGACGAGTTTTATAGGTGCCATTTTGGGGGACTTTCAATGTATTTTATTTAATATATGGTTTTGTTAAGAAAATCATGTTGAGTGTTGTTGTCCTTGGAGAAGGGCATGTGGGTCACTTATGTAGATCGCAGACAATCAATCTACCTTGCTAGTTATATAACAATTACTATGAGCGCCTGAGGCGTAAACTTACTGTTCACGACCAAGTATCCATGATTTAACATGACAAAGAGTGGGATTTTGGATATTCACCGGCGTAGCACCTGATCGTCATGATCGTCAGGGCCGCTAGCCTGTAAGGGTAAGCCGACATCTGCTCGTGGTATATCCTGCTTAAATTTTTATAGAAGGGAAGTACTACCGTATATAATAGAGATATCAAAAATTCATCTCCGGTTGATAGCGAGGGGAGACCCAATAGACAATCTCAAGGAGTAGTACAAAGATTTAAAGGTTTGAGATTGGTATATCGAATTCGATATCTACCTAGGCATTCCAACACCGTAGCTATGACCTAATAAAAACCACAAAGCGCCATCTGCGATGCCAATTCGTATCCCATGGTATCTACAATTCAGTTCACCTGATGCATTCAAAGCAAAACAATCCCGAATCAATCATCCTCATCCATCAAACTCAAACAGTCTAATTCAGTTGTAACCAACCGTTCAAACTCCGCCCGGTCGATTCCTGAAACCCTTGCCAGCCGATATAGACTTTTCATACTAGTCGAGATGTGCTGCTTAATTCCATGCTCGTTTTGATCACGGAGCGCATTCGCTGCAGCTCTTTTCTCCAGCTTGGCAACCGTGTCACTTCCGCTACTTCCAGTGCTAGATGCTGGACGAGGATGTAACAATGTCTCTGATATTCCATTGGTATATGGCGTTGTTTCACGCTCGTCGGATGGTGACCAGGCTAAGGCACCTGGCGTAACGTCGGGGGGGGAGGAGAGGTTTTGTTGAAGTTCGGCTGTGATTTCGTCTCTACCCAGTGAGCTCTCGATATTTCCGTTCTGCCGTGCTTCATCGGGGTCATGGTTATCCATTGCAGGTTGCACCTCGGCGTATTGAGCATAGTACGCATCTTCATCAGGCTGGGCCCGGGAGCCATTTGCGAGAGTCGGAGGAGCTGGGGAGTTCTGCGCTGGCGTGCGGGAGGGGGTATTGTCGTATTGGGCCCAGTAGTCGTCGTCATTATCGTCTTCCTGGGCTGCCAGACCAGAGTTGCCATTCGTGACATGGTGTGTCTCTGCGGCTCTGGTCTTAGAAGCATCTTCTGCATCCGCGATATTCTTCTCGCCCCACGGGCCTTCAGTTCCGTCGGGTACGCCAACTTCTCCGATTCTCCAGCCAGCACCACCACCGACCTCATCCCCAACACACCACACCAACTTAACATTAAACCCAAGCTCGCGTAGCGATACTAATGCTTGCAGGGTCTCCTGATCAACCCTGCGATACCTGATATCCACATCATAGTCCCAGTCTACTTCGACCTCTCCCGACACGGGATGTGGCTCCAATGCCTCGTTCTTGACAGCTACTTCTAATTTTGAGGTTTTCGATTGGTCGTAACAGAGCAGGCTCAGCCATGGTTCGTTACTCGAGGCGGAGAGGAGCTGTACTCGCTGGCGCAGTATTGGCGACAGGAGAGGCAGGAGTGCATTTGGAGGCTCTGATGCAATCGCAGCTGCAGGTAATGATCCAAGCAGCGGGGCTAACAGTTCTCGTGCTGCTGGTGGATGAATTGTTATCTCCATTTTCGCTGTCGAGTTTGTAAAATGGTCTTCGTCGGGGAATCGTAGATATGAAGAAAGTCGCCGGGCTTATGAGAGCATTGAAACGCGCCGAAGGAAGTAAGCTAAGCGTTCAAGGGTGAACTGTCTGTTCCTTTTTTGGGAAGATGGTGATCTCTGCAAGCTGATCTGGTCTGCAGGCGAGGGGGCGTAATACTGCGGCAGTTCGGTGGAGTCTTGTAGGAGAAGCCATCGTTACAAGCATGGTTGTGCGGCAGAACCCCTCGAGTAGTGCAACGAAGGAAGCTCCATTTGCCCGAACTTGGGCGGAGGATTTCGATCCTCGAACCTGACCGCGAGGCACGCCTTCACGTGACATCATGGCCCCATTTAGCGCCGGGCTGAAGGAGCATTCGGCAGTTTAGGCGTCTGGCGCGGAGCCGATTGGCCGCGGCTGACAGTCAGCAGTCAGCAGTCAGCAGTCGACTACTTCTTGTCATATACCTACACTCCATGCTTCTTCTACGAAGTATATAATACTGGCTATAACGTAATAAAGTAGTTATAACTACATTATAAGCCTTTATTTTCGTCTTTAAAATATTGTGATAGAGCTAAAAGCTACATCCAACTCATGCGTTCGCTCGCTTACGCTCTCTAGGCCAGATGGCACGTGACCTAGAACGTGACCACGAAAGTGTACCTGGTATGCATTCACATCAAAAAGTCGTACTCTCTCTTCTTCTTTCTTTAGCTTAATATCTTTGTGCTTATAGCTATAGTCGAATAAAGTGATCCTTTGCTTTGTAAGTACTGTTTATATATCTGTGATGTTATATTAAGCTTAACTAACCTTGTCTTTAGAAAAACTTCAAATATATCTTATACTTTACAGATATGCGTTACTTGTTTATTGTAACTACTTTAAGAGCGGGGACTTTAATCGAAGTATACTTTAATTTGCTCGTATAATTAGCGAATTAACCGATTTTGCAGAATAGTAATGAATGCAATATAGAGTTCGTAAATTTCCGTGTGTGGTTAATACAGGGAATCGCTACTGTAGCAGCGTAGGTGGGATTGAAATGGAAAACTTGAAGGTAGACTGAATTGATCTTCATCTCCGAGGCTTTATGTTTCACAACGCGTAAGATACACAATATTCCTGATTCCAGTAGAAGAAAGCTTTAATGAACTGCTATAAGTTATAGAGAGAAAATATTCCGGATAAACAGTATTCAATACATGCTAATTAACAATTAGAAACCGTATCAAAGTAGGCGCTAGGAGTATGGCATAATAGTCTTATTGAGTGCAAAGTATGGCAAGATTATTGCCGATATTTTAGTTACTGGACAACTACTGCTACTAATTTGGCGACGGTTGGGTTCGAGAGGATGGCTTCGCTCTGAATAAGGTCCACCTGGCTGCTCGGATTTAACAATGAAAGCATTAGTTGTATTGAGGAGCGAAGAAACTTGAAGGCTATCAAGCCCAAATTAACGAGATCGGTATCATCCTTGAGGTGGTCAACCTCGACATTCTCAGCGAGCGTATGGTCGATTCTCTGGCGCAGCCATCCATCGGGTGACTCCTTTGTCTGGCCATTCGCTCTTTTTGCGAAGTAGCTAGGTTGTATGCCGTGAGTTTTCGTCGTATTCAGAACACTGACGGCACCATTGACGACCCCCCCTGAAGAAGCTACTCCTTCATCGGAGCCTTTGTTTCTTGTGTAGCACCGTAAAAGACAGAAGAACCTGTGGAATGGAGCTGACTAGCGGCTGCAAGTAGTACTGATGCAAACCGGTCAAGAGCTGCTGAAACTTTCAGCTCGACGATAGACTCAATGGCGAGGGTCATCTTATCAGATAATACAGCGCCATCATCCGTTTGGCTCGGGTTGCCGTGAAGTTTTCTAGAGGAGACTGATGACTGCACCCCAGGTTCTTTCGAAGTCTGATTACACCGAGCTCGGCGTTCGTAAAGGGACTTCCACTCTGCCTCGTAAAGCTTAAAAACCGCGAGACGTTGCACGGTATCCTTACTCGCGCGAGGGAGAGGATTCGCAGGGTCTGTCCGAATCACGAAACTCTTCATGATTCGGCCGTGGGCTGGGAAGTCGCAGTTGGCCTGAACAATGCTCGGCCACACCTGGTCGAGGAAAGCCCCTTCTTCTGTGGCGTTCCTGGGGTACTCACAGGGTTCAAGGAGGAGGGACGCTTGGAACTAGCCTTAACCTCCAATGACCGCCGACGTGACAAGTGAATTTGACGGAATGATGCTCTCCAGTCCCGAGGGATTTAACTTCTCTACCGTGGTGAAAGAGAGGATGTCGTCTGCCCTTGCTCCCAAGCGCCACAAATCGGGTTTGAGTGGATGAGGCTCGAAGGAATCACCCAAGGCATGTTCTTCTTTCTGCGGGAATGTCGAGAAGACACCTTGGTGCAGCCCATACTTCTTTTGTCTTACGATGGTCAAATTGCCCAGCCAGTTATGCCAATCTCTGAATGTATAACTGAGACATGGGCTCAGAGAAATGCACTCCCAATCCCGAGGGCCATCAAGCATTTGATGAGGAAGCAGCGCCATCTCGCAAGGTCCCATCAGAGTCATCAACCTAATCCGCTAGAAGATGACATCTCCGATCTCCTCTGGCAGCATCCCACCTCCATATACAATAAATTTCAGGCCCTGAAGCATCCTCACGCAATAGGTGTCATTGTTATAGTAGTCGACGACAAGAGAGGGCACCATTATTGCACCGTAGGATTGGGGACGTTGAAAAACCTGGCTGGCCAGGTTAGCAGTGAGCGACATTGGATGGGGCGATACGCAAGTTACTCCGGCGAACAAAGCGATTCCTGCAGTCCAGTTGAGACTTGCGCCGTGAAACTCCGGAAGAGCGAAGAACACCATTTTCCCTTGGACGTTGCTCAAAAACGTTGGTTTGTTGCCGAGCGATGGAATCAGAAGCTGGGAATCCATGCCATCATATGACCCATACCTAACAGGCACAGGCTTAGGAATACCGGTGGACCCAGACGTATAGAGAATGCAGAATGGGTTATTTCTGACTTCCTCGAAGGTCTTTTGAAACGGAACGACTTCAACCAGCTGTTCGTCCAGAAAATAGCCAGTCTTCCAAAATGTGGTGATCAATAAGCAAAGGCTCCTTTGAGAGAAGCAAATTACAACAACCAGTTCGTTTGACCAACGATATATGAGCCTCGAGACTGTTTCGATGGGAGGTGAAGAAAGCCTTAATTTTCATCATCAGCTGAAAATTCGATGTTGGGGAAGACCACTTACAGTGTGCCCGGCCTTTGGAATAGTCATGACGAGAATAGTGTGTCGTAGATCAAAGTGTTCCAAGTAACAGAAGACGCGGGACTTATCAGTCCCAAGCGCTTGTTTGAACCAGTGAGCGTAGCGATATCCTAATCCCAATTTACTTACATTAGAAATGCACCGATGCTGTGCAACGTACTTAAAACCCAAAGTTATAAACTCTCTTTTAATAGTGCTGACTCCACACAGTCTTTCATACACACCCTTGCATGACAAGAAGTGATCATGATGTGACTGAGCTTGTAAACTTGTTTACCCATGTGGATTGGATTGTGATATGTCAAACACATTCTGCTTTGAGTGAGAATGCAACGCTAGGCATTCTTTGATGAGCGTGGTGTGAAAAACCACAAAAATATTCCCGGACAGTTAACACGCAAGTGGCGGATTTAACGTTTAACAGGGATGGTGTTGTACATACTTGTGGAGAAGCAGCGGGTAAGGAAAATAGTACTAGGGAGCTAGCAAGGGTTTTGCTTAAAGCCACTACAACAAGTAGTTGTGGGGTAATCCTGAGGCCAGGCAATTTCGTTGGCTGCTCAAGGCCATGTCCAACATGATCCAACATTATCCAATATATAGGGCGTAGGGCGTTTTATACTGTAAGCCTGACTCCCCAGTGAATTCCACCATTTTACCATCAGTGAAAGCACCTTCAGTTACAGCAGTCCTTCTCGAGTTGTGACCTGTTGAAGGAATTTGCCTGATTCAACATGCCGACCGTGACTCTCCCTTCCAAGCCAGACGCACCATTCGCGTATGAGCTCTTCCAAGGAGATGTGGCAAGCAGTCTCCTTATCGTCTGCGTTAATGGCCTTGGACTCGCATAGGGCTTTTGGAAACCGACTATTGAACTCATTCAGCAGTCGAATCTCTCTCCGAAGCCATGGATAATCACGTACAGCCGCTATGAGCAGGGGGATTCTCAGGGAGACTCCCGCGAAAGCTGGCCGGACAAAGAGCCCGGCCACGCGCGCAAACTGGACGATGTCACTGACGATCTCCACGAGTTGATTCAAACTTTATCCCCCGATCGTTGCTCACCCATTGTCTTTGTAAACAACAGCATAGGCGCGCACGTCGCGCGAAGATATGCTGCTAGGTAATAGACGACATGTATCTTCTTGTTGCTAGCGTCGCGACTAACGACTCGCGTCTGAGTTAGATATCCTACAATTGTTGAAGGAATCCTGTTCCTTGACTCTAATCCTGAAAACACTGACTACGCGAATATCTGGCCGAATCCGAAGGATCCGTCCTTTAATCTAGAGCAGACGGCTCCCCCCCGGCATCTCGCTCGATTGTACGAAGCCGCCTATACCAAGATGACAACGATATTTGAATCAGGTGCAAAGTACAACGAGGGATTTGACAGACGCGAGATCAAAAACATGCTGCCCGACCCATCACAGCGAAAGCTTAAGGGATCGAAGACTTCGGATAAAGTCCTCGGGAAACCGTCGTTGGTCATGAGCTCGAACAATACTGAAAGGAGGAATGGGCGATTGCTGAAGGTTCCTTTGGGCATGGCTGCGATGTATACTCAACAGCAAGTGAACAATTGTTCCTCAATTAAGCATTTCACTAAGAAGAAACTGTATGTGGGAGAAGTACAACGAGGGACTCTATCGGCTCACTGAACCAGACAGGGCGAAGGGGCCACTTATCGCACCAAAGTGTGGACACTTTGTCTGAAAAGACAACCCATATTTTGTTGATGAGCAGCTAGAAGACCTTATCAAGAAGGTTGAAAGTTCGCACTGACTACGTGTAAAGCCTTGAGGGCTTCCACGTTGGCACTCTAGCTAATATAGGAGTAGAACTCTCTCTCTATAGCTTGTGCAACATACCAGTTCCACGGTAACATAAACTTTGTGAAGATTATTGTCACTAGGGAACAGCCATAGCTCCTTCCTTAAGATGAGGCCCAAGGAAAATCCTCTTCGCTAAAAGGTGGAGGAGGTAGCATCGCAACCCCTATCTACC